AGCTCCACTCCCTCCCCTCGGGGCCTGACCCCGGGATGCTTGCATCACGGGAATGGCTTTTAGCAGCCCCTTCGCCTGAGCCATCCAGCGCACGCGGGGGGCCCAGAGTGCGGGCTCAGCAGGCAGCGCTCGGTGGACAGGCAGCCCGTCTCTCCCAGGACCCTCTGGGCTTGCAGGGGAGCCGTGATGTCACCATGATTCCACGCGGCTGCCAAGCGCCCAGCGTGAAGGCCCCTCCTGGCCAGCTCGGCACTGACGCAAATCAAAAGCTTCTAGCTGTCTGAGCAGCTGCCACCCGGTCCTCCGCCGGCAGCCCTGTGGTCCACAGCAGGGAGGGCAGGGAGCGGCGGGCTCCAGTGTGGGACCTGGCATTTGAGATCATCAGCTGCTCTTTAAAGCGCAGCCAGCGTGGCACGGGGGGCTCCTTGGAGGTCAAGGAGAGCCAGCCACTCGCACAGCTCCTGGTGAGGTCAGCCGCCCTGCCCCTCATCCAGCGGTGCCTGGGCTCCTTCAGCTCTGGTCACGGCTGCTGGCCCAAAGTGGCACTAGGGGCATGGGAGGACGTTAGGCCAGGTGGACCCACCCCGGGGACAGATGGGGGCAGGGGACAGGGCGGCCCCTGCGTGGCGTCAAGCAGGGTGGGGTGGAGCTCCGTCTTCCTCTGGGTCTCCTGTCACCGTGGGTGTAAATAGCGGCCTTCCGGAGCTGCTACTGCGAGGTCTCCCTGAGCCTCCAAGGGGATGCTGGAGTCTCACCTTTCAGCACATCCTCGCCACAGCGACCCGCAGACGACACGCATCCGGGGCTCCTTGGAGGGACGTGGGGAGCCAGGCACGGCGACCAGGTGGACCCAGAGCGACCTTCCTGGCATCTCCGGCTGAGAGCCGTCCTGGGGGCCTGACTGCCCCGGAGAAGCTCACCTCAGCCTGCCTGCCGGAGCGCCCTGTCCTTCCTTAAACACGCACACACAGGCTCATGCATGTACACGCACGTGCACGCACACGCACACACGCAGCACGTGTGCACACAAACACACAGGAGTGCAAGCACCCGCGAACGTGTGAACACATGTATGTGCCCCACACTCTCCCACAGTGTACGTGCACATGTAGACACGCATGCCACACGCACGCACACACGCGCACACACACACACACACACACACACGCACGGGGGTCCAGCTGCTTTCTATTCCCAGATCAGCGCTTGCTGTCGCCGACGGGGCACCTTCCAGAATTTCGACCAATCCCTGCTCAATACGAGGGCCCCCACCCCTGTGCAGGCAGGACCCTGACCCTCTGCCCTCGGCCTCAGTGGACGCAGAAGGACAGGCTGCCCAGGGGCCGGGATGGCCGCCTGGGGGGCAGCATGAGGAAGCCACTTGGGGTCCAGGGGCGGGGCCAGGCAGGCAGGACAAGACAGGAGCTGAGGACGAGGACTCCAGGCCCTACCTCAAGGGCACCTTCGTCTCCACAGGAACTGGGCTGACCAGAAGCCAGCTCCGGCCACCTCCGCCTCAGCACAGGCAAACGACTACGTGGCCGGGCGGACGCGGCCGGGTCGCGTGTGGAGAAGGGCCCACCTGGGGGTCACCTGGGTGAGGTGGGAGGCCGCAGCTGACCCCTTCCTGTGGGCAGCACACGAAGGGTCGGGACCCCTCCCCGTGGAGCGCCTGCCGTGGCGAGGTTGGCCTGCGAGGCGTTGCCTGGAGACCCGAAGTGTCCGGCGCTCCGTTCCATCCGCATCGGCAGCGGGCCCGCCAGGGGGCCGTCCCCCCTCTTCTCATCACGGGGCTCTGTCCCGTCCTCGTCCCAAGGCAGAGGTGCTGCCGCTGCCCTGTGGGGACTCTCAGGACCCTGGGCCTGCGGCCGCTGCACAGCCTCCAGCCCTGACGCTGAGTCGGGTCCACGGGACTCCGGGTCAGCACGAGGTCGAGGGCTGGTGAGTCCTCTGTTCTCTTGCTGCTGTGTCTGTTCTCCTTCCTCACCCCCACCAGAGCCCTGCTGCACTGTCCTGGATGTTTCCACCCACGATCCCAGGCAGCTCTGGGCCCCTTTGCGTGCAGATGGATGAGATGCAGCAGGGGTTCGGGAGCAAAATGACCATGGCAAGAAGCAGACAGACAGACGGACAGACAGACAAAAGGCTGGGTCTTGCAGGAGACCCCAGGCTGCTGGCGGGGCTTCTCAGAGGGTGGCTTGGGGGCCCCTGAACTGGACCTCCTGCTCTGGGGTCTGCAGGTTTCTGGGCAGCCCTGCGTCCTCAGCCACCGGAGCAGAGCCTCACGGGGCCAGACCGGCCTGGCTCCTGGGCCCACCTGGAGGGGGGACCCTGGGGCTCCTCAGGAAGAGCTGCTCCCCTCCCATGGCCTCCCTTCTGGCTCCCTCTTTCTGCTTGTGGACGGAGGCTGGTCTTTGTTTTGTTTTGTTCTAATAACCTAAACAATTGGCACAGAGGCTGCATCAGCTGATGGGCAGTCGGCCGATGGTCACGCTGTCCACGTGGCCAGGCTGGCGGCCGTCACATGCAAGCGGGGCGGGGACTGGGTGGGCGAGCCCAGCAGGGGCGCCCCAGGCTCAGCAAAGGCGTCCCAGAGCTAGAAGCACGCCCCTCCCCTCCCCTCCCTTCCCCACACCAATGGGAAATGGGGAGGAGGGTTGAGCCGCCCCTACTCCCCAAGGCAAACAGAGACCTGGCCGCCAGCCGCACCCCCGACAGAGGGCCCTGCACCCCCGACAGAGGGGCCCTTTCTTCTGTGCTCCAGCTGAGCAAGGTCGACTGCGGCCAACAGTTTCTGTTTTCCTGCCCACTCCCTCTCGAGAGCTGCGGTGGCAGTGCCCCAAAGCCGGTATTCGCACACATTCCAACCTGCCCTTTGGTTTGTAAGATGTAAATATTTGCTCTTCCATTAAGAAAATAATCAGAAGTTATCCTTTAAGTGGAGTGTACACACCGGTGCCCTTCAAAAAGCAAATGCTGCTCTTCCTAAAGGTGGAAGGAGAGAGCCGGGCTGGGCGGCTCTGCGAGTGTAGGCCTGCCTCTCTGTGCTGCGCCCACCTGCCTGAATGCTCTAGCAGCTCAGGCAGCATGCAGGGGAGACTGCATGGGGCACGAGGCAGCCCTGGCATCTCACAGCCCAGCCCACATCTGGGGCTGGGCAGGATGCAGGCGGGCTTCTGTCTGGGGGTGAGCCTTTCCGGCCCCAAGTCTGCGCAGGGCCTGGCTGGAGAGCAGTTGGCAATGAGAGAGAGTGGGAAGCTGTGCTCTGGGCGGAAGGTCTGTATCTGGGTCTCAACTCTGCCTCCTCCTTGGCCCACGAAGTGGGCCGCCGGCTGACCCTCGCCAGGCTCCCGTTCTCTTCGTGTAAAACGACGGGGTCCCAGCTGCTTTGTACCGCCGCTGCCCTCCCCGGTGAGTGAAGCTGGAGCTGGCGGTCCGGGCCGTGCTATGGGGAACCCGTGGCGGGCGCTTTGTGGGTAGCACTTATAGCGGCCTCGCGGCAGCCGAGCTGGCAGTGTTTACACCATGGGCATTGGCAAGCGCAGCAAATCCGGGCCGTCTGAGAGCTGGTTACCCGTGTGCCCCTAGCTCTGGTCATCGAAGCGCCTCCCCTCTCTCAACCCTGGGGTCAAAGCAAGGACTAGAAAGAGGATATGAAGCGTTCGCAGGAATACCCCGGAAAACAAACGAACAATGACATCAACGCCCAGGCCCGCTCTCTCCAGGCCCCAGCAGGCCCCTTCCCTGGAGACCAGGCTCTCCCGGAGGCCAGACTCCCGTGGGCACGGCAGGCTGCCCACCCTCAGGGACACTTGCACAAGGACGTCGCATCTGCGGGCTCCGGGAAGTCCCGAGGGCGGCTCCCCCGACCTGCGTGGCTACGGCTGCCCTGGCGTCCTCACTGCCTTCTGTAAATACTTGTGGAGAAGCCTGTGGCCTCTTTGGATCTGGGTGTGCACACGTCTGAGGCCTGGCCCTGGCTCTCTTCCCCAGGGGCTCCTGCAGGACGTGCTGCCTGATGGGACCCCGCCGAGGAAGCCCCGCGGGCGGGGTGGCGGTGCAGAGGGAAAGGTGCCGGGACCCCCGTGATCTCATTCGGGCCCCTCGCTTTGCCCTCTGACCCAGGCTCTGGGCTTGAATTACGAGAATCCCGTAAGGTAACGTAGGTGGGGAGCTGCTGCCTGGTGGAGGCTCAGGCGGGACCAGTGTCCTCTTTGTCCTGACCACGTGCTCCTGCGCTCTCTGGATGTGCCCAGAGCTTCCTGGCTCTGGGTAGGGGAAGGGTTTGTTTCTTTTCTGGCAGCAGGAGCCCAAGATCAGGCAACAGCCCACCTGCGTGAGGGTGCGGGGCGGGGGAGAAGGTGGTCCCACAGGAAATGCCAAGTGGGCACCTGGGGCACCTCCTGAGTGTGATCACATGCCCATGAGTGGGTGGGCCGTCCTTACCTTTTTCCTCCTAGAAAGAATGCCTCCACCTAGAGGCCCTCCAGGCTGGACTCTCCCTCTTTTAGGAAGCCGCTCTGTCCCGAGCCTATCTGGCTGGTCTTACTATCCTTCTCACTCCTCCTGGGTCCCCAGCCTCCAGGGGACCCTTCTCAAGGGCCTGTGGACATTCTGCCACCCTGTCAGCCTGGAGGATGCTTCTCTACTTGTCCCGAAGACAGGGCAGCTTCCCGCCAGGTGCGTTCCACATTCTGGAAGGCTCCCAAGAGCAGACGTCCAGTGAAAGGCAAGCCTGCCTCTGCAGTCACACGGGTTTCCAGCCGGAACCCCCCTCCCCTGATGCGCAGTCACCCATCCCTGCCTTGGAGCCGCGGCGGCTGGGAGACCGCGGGGTGGGCTGCCAGGGGCAGGGGTGAGCAGCCACTGCCCCGGGGCCCGTGGGAGGCTGCCTGTCAAACAGCACAGGACACATGATCCCCGAATCCCAGCTCCCAAGGCAGAGAGGTCTGCAGGTGGGCCACGTGTGGCCACCGTCCACCTCCTGCACAGACCATCTGTTGGAGGGTTCCTCCTGGCTCCCTCTGCGTGGAGTCCCCTGCCAGGGGTGTTGGGGACACTTGGCTCTGTCCTCAACGCTGTGACACCTGGACTCTGCAGTTTGTGCCAAGATAGAAAACGGGTGGAATGTTCCTGAGACGAAACCCCTCATCCCACTGTCCAGTGGTTCCCAGACCACACTGAGTGGGTCAGAAAGCTGTCCGTCTCCTGGTCATAATACCCCTCACGGGCTGGAGATAGATTGTGCCCTCAATTTGTCTTAGGTGGGAAGTGGAGCACATAGAACTCTCTGAGGCCTTACGGCAGACAAGCAGGGGCAGCCAGACAAGGGCCTTGGGTGGTCTGAGCCCGGATGTTCTAGCAGGTACTGAAGGCCACGCCCAGATCCCCCCCCCCACCCCCCCGCTCCACGTGGCTTGCGTCTGCCTTAGACATCTCCCACCGGAGAACCGGCCGCAGCCCCCAGCACAGGCCTTATGGCTGGGACCACAGGCCCGCCCCTCCCTCTAGGACCCACCCGCGGAGGCACGGACGGCCCCCCACCAACAAAAAACATGACCCAGTACCCCAGACTCCTCCGTGTTGTCCCCAGAGCACGAGGGACGGGACAGACTTCTGCCCCTACTGAGCTGCTCCCATCCCCGTGGCCCAGCACTCCCAGGATGGGATGAGGCCGCTCTCTCTCCTTCAAGGGCAGAGGAAAAGCTCAGCTTTCTCAGATTCCTCCTAGGGCGCCTGGTGCAGTCCACACGCGTGTTTTGCGGCTGACTCAGAGAGGGAAGGCAGTGGCGGGAAACACACACAGCGGCAGATTCCTTCCCCGTCGTCAGGCACCGGCCCCGGCTCCGACCCCGACCCCGCAAGGCTGGACGCCTGCTAGGCTGGTGACTGACGTGGCCCCAGGCAGGGAGGGGACATCAGGGCCAGAGAAGCCCAGGTCCAGAGGGAAGAGGCCTCAAGGTCAGCAGGGCCACGGGGACCCTCCGCTGGAGGCCGGAGGAGGGACAGGATGCAGTGTCTGCTTTTAAAAGTCATGGATTGATTTTCTTGTGTTTTAGAAAAATGCAGAGCATCAAAACCATGATTGCAGGGATTTTAGCCCTACGGCCAAGACTGAGTCAGCAGCGATGTCAGCCCTGAGCTGACTGAAGGAAAACTAGGAAATGAGAACACGTCTTGGACCTGCCGAGACCTTGCTGTGGACCATGAATGACGGAAGAGTGGGCAGCATGGAGCTGGCCGGGCTCTGCAGGCTGTTTCTGGAAAGGGCCAGGGAGTAAATAGTTTAGGTGCTGTGGCCACTCGGTCCCTGTTGCAACCGCTCGGCTCTGCCCTTGTACTGTGAAAGCCGCCGTGGACGACAGGCAAATGAGTGGTCGTGGCCTCGTGCCAATAAAACTTTATTTGTGGGCCCTGAGATGTGAGTTTTGTATAATTTCCACATGTTGTAAAATCATCCCTTCTTCTTCTCCTTCTTCCCCCCCCCCTTCCCTCCCCTCCTCCTTCCAGCCATTTAGTGGGTTAAAACCATTCTCAGCCAGAGGACTGGGTACAGACAGGCCAGCTTTGGGCCATAGCTGGCGACCCCGATCCCGTCTGATGCGCTCATTTGTGGATGCAGTGACGGACCCAGCAGTGGGCAGGGACTTGCTGAAGCACACAGGGCGCGTGGGAGCAGAGCCTGGACTGGGGCAGCCCCACGCTCATCCACACTCCCTGCTTCTGCTTCCTGGGGCCCCTGGGGTGCCACACCCCCTGACCTGAGCAGCACCCCGCTCCTTCGGGGAGGGAACAGGCACAGCCCGACTCTGAGTGGTTCTGGAGGCTGCGGATCTCAGAGCCCAGCCTGCGGGGACCCCGGAGACTTGAATGACCCTCCCCCCCACCCCCTGCTGCCCCAACTCCACACCCACCTCCTGGCTAACGCGACTGGCCCAGGAGTGGACGCCAAGCAGCAGGGTCGGGCCTCCGTGGAGGTGGAGAGGAAGGGGCTCTCGTTCCTCTGGGGACTCTGAGCTGGACCACCATGCAGGCCTTGACCCCTGTCCCCAGACTCCTGAGAAGTCCCCTCTGCAGGGAGAGAGGCCTCACCTGGAGAGAACCGGGGCGGGAGAGAGCAGAGAGGTGGGGAGACACCCAGGCCGCCGGAGGCCCCGAGGCCCGCCCTGCCCAGGACTCCCAATAAACTCTGTTTTTGCTTTAAGTTATTTTGAGTTGGGAGTTTGTTTTTTGTTTTCTGAAGTTCCATATCTTGAGCTCGCCCTTGACACTTCCTGAAGGAGAAACACACAGAGGATGCTGGGCCCAGAGTTCATGGTAGAGCAGCTGCGCGGCAGGGCCAGGAGTCAGCGGGGGTGCTGCAGGGAGGAGTGTGAGCTGACGGGGGGCCCCACACTCGGGAGAGAAGATGACACCCCAGGAAACCCCGCACCCTGAGCGGCCCCTCCTTAGAGCTGCCCCAGGAGACCCTGGAACACAGCCTCACAGGCGTGTCGCCCTCGCCAGGAGCCCCTTCCCGGCCCATCTGCCCCCGACCCCTCCAGGGGGTGCAGTCGCTGCGCCCAGATGAGCCCTGGGAGCTGGCGGCTGCGCCGGAATATTCCAAAGGCCCAGGAGGCTGTCAGACTGTGACGTGTGATAAAATCCCCAAATGTTCCAGGACAGGAAACCGGTTTAACCTTAACGTTTCCCTGCCGATGGCTCCCGGCCGTCTCACAGCACAGCCTGGCTGCGGTCCTGCGAGAGGCCATGCCCTGAGCCAACAAGGGCCTGAAACACCTTTTGGCACGCGGCAGTTGGCGGAGACATGAATAAAAGACCCATTGGACATTAAAGCATCCCTTCTCTAAGACAGCGCTTTATCTGCCTCTGAAGGGGATGAGGGCCTGAGGGGGAAGCTGCCCAGAGTGAGGAGGTCAGCGGCCAGCTGTGGACACCGCAGCCGCCTCTGAGCATTGTGACAGCAGCCGGGGGGGGGGGGGGGGGCCGAGGGCCCCGCCCCCCCAGCTGAGGCTTGGCCCCGCCCACCAGGACACCTGGTTCCCGGGGCTCCTGTGGGAAGGGCATGCTGAGCTGGCACCTGGCCGGGCCTGTCCTGTCCGGGGGCCCTGGGGGGGCCTTGATGAAGGTGGACTTGTGTGCAAAGGGAGGAGGGGTGAGAGGGGCCTCCCTGCCCTCTCTGGGGAGACCAAGGCAGGAGGGGAGCCCGGGCGCTACCTGCACAGAGGACAAATCCCAGAGGACCTCCACCTGCAGGCTGGAGAAGTAGAGGGCTGCTGGGGACTGTCCAGGGCAGACCCTGAAGCCCCGCTTCTTCCCACATCCCCGCCTGACGTGCACAATGTTCTGAAGAGGCCTCGGTGGGGAGAAAGCCATGGGCCTGGGGAGTGAGGGCCCAGCCTGCCTGGAGCCCTCCTGAGATGCCTCTGAACCAAGGGGGTCCTTTAGACCCTTGCTTCTTTCAATGCTGTGTCAAAATTGTCCAGTGTGGCACCTTTTAGTACAGGTATAAGAATATGTGTGTAGACCCTGCGTAAGAGCATGAATCAAATTGATTAGCAGAAGTGTATTTTTCCACAATTTCCTTTTTTTAAACAGTCCTAATCTTTTTTTAAAAATTTATTTATTTTATTTGTTTATTTTTGACTGTGTTGGGTCTTTGTTGCTGCGCGCAGGCTTTCCCTAGTTGCTGTGAGTGGGGGCTACTCTTCGTTGCGGTGCGCAGGCTTCTCATTGAAGTGGCTTCTCCTTATTGAGGACCATGGGCTCTAGGCGCATGGGTTTCAGTAGTTGTGGCTCGTGGGCTCACTAGTTGTGGCTTGCGGGCTCTAGAGTGCAGACTCAGTAGTTGTGGCACACGGGCTGAGTTGCTCCGCGGCATGAGGGATCTTCCTGGACCAGGGTTTGAACCCGTGTCCCCTGCATTGGCAGGCGGATTCTTAACCACTGCACAACCTGGGAAGCTCTGCCATAATTTCTAAACAGCGTCCCACATATAATGACTGTGGTTTAAAACTCCTGAAAAAATGTTCAAGAAAGGTTTGAGTCCTCCAGCAACTTAACTGACCTCTTGAAGGCCACGGCTGAATTGAAGTAAGTTCTGGAAACAGGAGGTACCTGGGTCACCTCAGGATATAATCCCAGAGGGACTCTCTTCACCCCCAGACTTATTTCTCCCTTCCCCTCCCCCTCCTTCCCTCCCCTCCTCCTCCTCCCTTCCCCTCCCCCTCCTCCCTTCCCCTCTCCTCCTCCCTTCCCCTCCCCCCTCCCCTCCCCATCTCCCTTCCCCTCCCCCTCCCCCCCTCCCCTCCCCCTCCCCCCCTCCCCTCCCCTCCCCTTCCCCTCCCCCTCCTTCCTTCCCCTCCCCCTCCTCCCTTCCCTTCCCTCTCCTCTCCTCTCTCTTTCACCAGCTTCCCCTCCCACTTCCTGCCACACACTCACCCTCCACTCCCTTTTCCAAACAGAGCCAGCAGCGCCAGGCCCCTCTTGCCTCCACACCATCACAGGTGGTCCTGCAGGTGAGCCCTCTGACCCCCCCAGCGCTCATGCCCACCCCCCGTGCCAGGCTCTGGATCCCACTGAACCAGACTTGGGTCCGTAACCACGGATGCAGCTGCTCTGGAGTGACATCTGATAAAGGAGGTTGGACTCAGACGCCGGCTTTCCTGCCTGTGCCCCCCACCCCCGTCCCACCCTTTGGCTGAGGGAGCTCAGCCGACCTGGACAGACTCTCCTGCCCGAGGCTCTGGGTTCGCCTGGCCCCTGGGGGCGTTGAGCCCGGCGTCCTCTGTGCTAGCTCTGTGGGGCCAGCGATGTCATGCACAGAACAGCTGACAATTAGCCACCAGCACAATCCAGCTGTGGGTTCCTGGCCCCCATTTTACGGCCGGCACCTCCTCTGCACAGTCCTTACACCCCCCTCCCTCCTGGGGCCTGTGAGACGGCAGCAGAGTGACCCCCAGTCGCAGGGTTCCCCAGGACCACTGAGCAGGTGAAGGGTGGGGATCAAGGGGGATGGAGGGGACGCTCAGGGCTGATGCTCAGAGGCCCATCATGTGGGCAGCTGCGTACACGGTTTAAACCCTTTTATCCTCACTATAAAAATAATACATATTTATTCATAGAGAATTTGAAAATGAAGAAAACTATTAAAAAAAAAAGAAGAAGGAAAAAACCACCAGCAATCCACCACACAAAGAGAACACGCTCCACATTTCTGGAATGTTTCCTCCCAGCCTTGCCTGTTTCTGTGCATTTTAAGAACAGAGTTAAATATTTTATGTGGGTGTTCGAACTGTGTTTTCTTAGAGTTTGCATTTGTCTAGTCAGCATCCTTTTGTCACAGAGCCAATGGTTTTAACTACATGTTCTTATTTTCTGTATGCTTGAAAATACAGGGAAGCTCTCCCCTCCCTGACTGGGGAGAGACTGCCCTTCCTGGGGCCGCCAGCACTTAGCGACTCGAAGGCTCACTAGAGCTCCTTCACCTGCAAACTAACCAATCCCAGTCTATAGCCCCACACCTCCTTATCTAACCTCACACACAGCCCATGTTGCCCCTGCCCCAAACCACTCCAGGGCCGGGTACCAGGCAACGAGAGACCCCTCTGTAGCTCAGAGCTCGCCAGGGTTATTTATACGGGCCAGTCCCGAGCTGTGTCCCCTGCCCCCCCTTGCACTTCCTGCAGAAAACCCGATCAAAGCTCTGGCCTCGGCCCTCCCCCTTGTTCCTGCTCTTGCCTCCTGGCCCAAACCCAGTGCCTCCCCACGGGGCCTGCATGGCGTATGTGCCCCGTCTTCGGGAAATGTAAGTAATAAAAAAAAAATCTTCTTTCAATAGCATTGGCCTCTCCTTGTTGTAACTCACTCATACTGCTGTAAAATAAATCCCAGGTATGTTTTTCATACTGTGTGTGTGTGTGTGTGTGTGTGTGTGTGTGTGTGTCTCACTTTTGTCACCTAAGATGGTAACATGGATATTTTCCAATGTCATTAATGCTCTTTTTAAATGTAATTGTAATGAGTGTATAATATCTTCTCCTACGGATATACCAGAATCTCTCCCTCTTTTGCTGTATCTGGTTTGCTTCTATTATTATTATTTTTTATTACCCTGAGATGAACATTTTTGTGAATCGATATTATCCCGTGTTTTGGGATCTTTCCTCATGTTAGACGGTCAGAAACAGAAGCCCTGGATCAAAGGGACGTTGCAGGTGGGGTACACACGTTGCATCCTCCAAAGTCTGTCTGCTTTTATGCTCTAATCAGAGCCAGCACTGAGGGTTATCAACTATGTGAAATGTTACCAATTTGACGGGGAAAATGTCGTGTTGTGGTTTGAATTTCTTTGGCTGCCGGTGAGGTTAGACGGTCCTCCCTGTATTTTGTGGTCACTGATATTTGCTTTCTTGAGAATTCCCTAGTCCTGTTCTTGGCCTATCTTCCAAATTGGGGTCATTGAGACTTTTTATTTT